TCTTTAATCACAGCTACTACCTGAGGTGTGTATTAAAAATATTGGCTACGATAGTACGAGTCTCTCATGGTTCCTGTCATTTTCGTTCTCGTCCCTGGTGTCCTATGTATTCACCTTTCATACTCCTACTACTTGATCTTATTCCTTTTTTCTCTCACTACAAACTTGCTTCACACATACCTGGCTTCGCTTGGCCTTCATCTTGGGAGACACCATTGGCTCAACCTTGTACTAGGCCCCAATCTCGAACTCAACAACGATTCCTATGATTTCTGAAACCTCCGAAACCCCCTCCTGAGAGACTGTCCTTCACCATATGTCTCACAACACGTTCAACATCTTGACCCTTGATAACACAAAACAACCTTAGAACCTTAAGACACTTTTACTGCATCCCACCTAATATAAGTAAAACCTTTTATGCCGGACTACAGAGATGGAAGCTTTACAAATTTCAACAGGATGTATACATAACCAATAGATCGCCGCTAGATCGCCGCTAGTTCTCACATCAAGGCGACTATCGTGAAACTGTTGAAATTCGTGGAGCTTCCATCAATGATCCTCGGTAATGCTCGGCAAGGCCGGAGGAGCTTTGGCAGGATGTGTTAGTGATGCTGGAATTTTTGGAGAGTTGTTTTGAGTGTGTGGAGATGTGGGTCTAGACTTTCAATATGCTTAGGAGGCTATTCATAGGATGAGCGGCTGAAGAGTTGTCGGGGGTGTAGATGAACACTTTGAGGGTTCGTAGGAAGATGTACAAGGAGTTGGTACAAACCTGTGTTGCACTAGGAAGATGCTATAACAGTATGATGAGACGCTGGAAGATTCACAAGACTTTTCAGAGGAAAGCGGTTGTATTGGAAACGCAAAGAGTGGTGGGAGACTTGGAAAAGAAATCAGGAAAAGGTTACTTTGTACGAAGCAGAATTGTGTATATATAGGACACCTCCGGTTAGGTAGAAACAACGAGGACCACAAGACACTCTCTTCCTCGCTCGAACATAGCCTACTTTTTCCAGAAACCACTTTCAGTGCCGCAGGCCTCCATTCATCCGACTCTTCTATGGGTAAATATACCTGTAAAGATAGTTGAACCAAACGATGCAGCTCCTGAGTTTGGAATCGCGAGGTGGTGCTTCGCATGCTCTCACGACGGCTTGCTCGGCTCGCATGGCCTCCGGGAGCGCCCTTTAGTTTCATGCGCGCTGGGGCTTCGGGTGTGCTTCGGCTTCCACCAGCGCAGTTTAGCTTTTCAAGAAAGCGATTCGGTCACGGGAATCTGCGGGATTCCTGGAGAACTACGTCCGTTGGAAGGAAGGCACGAAGGAAAGTGGAAAGGATATCAGGAGGGCGGGAAGCTGGATGGCCGGATTTTTTCTTTCCTCTGCCGGCTTTTCTTGATTGGCAAGCGTGTGGGAGACGTACCCGGAAGGACAGGGGGTCCGGAGTCAGCCATTTTTTTGTCTCGTTGTTATATGCTCCTGTCTTTACAGTTATTTAGAGAGAGAGAGTGCGTGATAGAGAGTGCGGATGGCCAAGTGAAGGGTTTTCTCCCCCCCGTGAGTTGTGGTATCCTTTCACGTGAGCGGGCTTGGCATCTCTTTTCACAGCCCATCACTCGTTCATCTAGTTTTGTTGTTGCCAGCGGTGTTGCCCCAACAATCATCTTTGTCTTTCTTTTATTCTGATCAGCTCCATTACTCTGCACTCCAGCCTCGACCTCTCCTGCGTGACTTCCGGCGGTTGCGTTGTTACTTCGCACCGCGTTTCGTTCGTTTTCGATAGCCTCCGCCGATCAGACGTCCGAAAGCAAAGTGTCGTGTCCTCGCGTTTGACAGCCGGAACTAGCTACTGGAGTAGAATGTCAGTAGTTCTCCGATGGTTTGACGAAACTCGATCGGATCATCCATTCCTTCCAAGCCACATTGGCTCGGCAACCCCTCCGGTATGTTCTCGCGATTGGAAAATGCAATTATGGACAAAAGATATGCTGCTTGCGGCGTCGGCTGTGCGATCTGGCTAAAGGCGGCAAAGAACACGGCCACGATACTTCCGGCATGTCATCCTCTCGTTGGATCTCGTAGAATTGCTTGGAAAGTGGTCCCTTCGCCCTTTCGCCCCTCCCCCCGAAAATAGTCCAGTAGGCACGGAGTCCCGGTTTCCCTCATGAAGGCCGCCGCACCTATTCTTGCCAGGGGCACGTGATGCAAGTATCTCAGGATTATGGTGATAACCTCTTCCTCCCCACCTCCTAGAGTGTCCCAGCTACCGAGGCGTCTCCAAAACATCAACTAGGCATCCTCCTCCATTTTTCCAACTTTGATTCTTTCGCGATTAACTATAGGCAATACGGTCAGAAAAAAAAAGATCTGTTGCCGGGCCCGTTGGGGAAAGTAAGCCCGTTGGTGTTGTCAATATCGGGTTGCGCTCAGTCTCCCCGCCTGAGGAGACTCCTACCAGGAAATTGGTCTCAGATCACGTAGACTTCCGATAAGTGGGTGTACCTTGAATAATTCTACAAGAGTAGAATACAGGAAATAAAAAATACAATGAATAATCACAGGAGCCCCACCTGCTCCACCCCCTCCTACATATACATAACCCCACCCGGTCACCACTTCCCCACCCCCTCCTACTTCTACACCACCCCCTTAGGCCCCCGTGCCCCACCCTCACCTACTTCTACACAACCCCACCGGGCCCCCGTCCACCACCCTCTCCTACACACACCCCCAGTGTCACTGGGCCCTCCACCGCCTGGCAATGTAGCCAGATGCCCCCGCCGGGCATGTCCCAGGCCATCCGACCCTCCACCCGAGGGGAAACAACTCCGGGGTGGGCCGACTCGGTCCCGCCGCCGAGTTGCTTCTCGCAAAACTCGCGGCGGAAGGCCCGAATGGCCAAGGCAGCCCGCATCTCCTGCAACTCCCGCTTGAGAGCCTAGAGCTCCCGTTGGATTTCCTCGTCGGGAGGGGGGCCGTCTGGGCTCTTAGGGCGCATTATCGCCGCCACCCCGGACCCAGCAGCAAGAGTGGCTAGTGCCCCCAGTGCCGAACCTAGGTCCCTTAGGAACCCTGCGGGACAAAGATCCGCCATGTTAGTAAACAGTATTGTCCGGGGCATCCCAATGGGTTGAACGAACCGTAAATGGCTCTTCGAGCCCGACACCATCGAGATGGAGAGTTGGGGGGTAGGCCGTCTTGCGGGGCTCCGGGGGGGTTCAGTAGTTGGGGCTCTGGCTGGGCCTCCGGCTGGGGTTGCACGCCAGGTGGCATATGTTGTAGTGGGATATTCATATTTGTAGGATGGATGGAAAGCGTTGGTGGGCGGGTGTTGGAGAAAGGTTGTGGACGGGGGGTGGGCACGAGAAAGGGGTATTATATGCTCCTATCGGAAGTCTGTCAACACGTCATGGTATCCGTAAGCGAGGATGGGGATAGAGAACTTTAAGTTAGCGGCCAATTTTCCAACCCCGTCAAGTGTATTAGAAGTAGCTAAGGATAACAGAAAGAGAAACCAGAGAAAACCCAAGACAAAACAACGCCCAAAGAGAATACCCATGCGTCCAGCTCTAGTCAACCGGATATCTCATTCCACTGGCGGAGGCGGTGCGTGGGAAGCCGCTGCCCTTGCCACGGGAGATCGTTACCACCGATGTTTCCCGATGCGGCAATGGGGGCGCCAGTGGGGTTTGTTTGCAAGAGGGGTGGGTGGGCAATAAAGAACGCGAGAAATAACGGATGCGAGCTGTGGGCAGAGTGGTGATCGTGTGGTATGGGGTGGTAGAAAGGGGACTCATGTAGTGTGGTTCCGTGAGCCGTGCGTTGTGGAGCACTGACCCCGCACTGTCCCAGCAACCGGCCATACCTTTATCCGCCGACATCCCGGGTGTGCCCGCCTACCCCCCAGTCGGATTCCGTGTGCTTTGTCCAATTGGGGGTTCAGCGAAAAATACACTAAAATCGTCTTGGCGAACGGTAGTTTTGTTTGGTCTGTTCGTTGACCCCCCCGCCTATGTTACTCTTAGTGGGGACCGGTAACGGCGACTCGAGTGAGTTGCCGGTATACGCAACTCGTTTGCCATTCTTCCACCTTTACTTGAGGAGGATATTTAGCGATACCTGGGCCACTTCAATTGGAAACTCTTGCAGAATATCCTGCCGCCCAATGCACGCCGATGCAAGCCAGTTGTTTTTTTTGAACCTCGCGGCATTATTATTGGTGTGTTTCCGGAGCAATGAGTATCTTTTCCATAACTTATCGTCACCATTTGTTAGATTCAAATTTGCGTTCTCCACAACTCCAGCTACAGGGTACAAGTACTGGTACTCCAAAAAGCGCCGCTGCTGTAGGACGCAGAAAAATGGTTCGCAGTCGGGAGGTTCTTATCGTAGCATATATATTAATAAATATCCCATAATAATATATTAAACCCTGTACAGTACTAATTGTGGTTTATGATGCCGCCAAGAATGCGACCGAAAACCAACCAGTGAAATTTCCCCAATTTTGAGCGAAGGGTGGGGTTGCATCCCATCCCGTCTGCTCTCCCTGGGCTTTTCTTCAGCCTCATCGCTGTGTCAAGACTTTCGATCTCTGAAGCTTAAAGCTCAACCCCCCTCATAAAACCAGGACGCGGGCGCTCTAATACCCAAACCGTGCTCTTACACTAAACCTTTATTCTCCAGCGAACCAGAACCGCCCTAGATAGGATTTTACTCATAGCTGCCCCAGAACTACAGAACTATTAGCCCTATATTCACAGTAGGGCCCTAGGGCACTTGTTCTACCGTATACCGTTTATACTGACTTATTTCAGGAGTTGCGAAACAGGTTTAAGTTACCATGGAGTTCTTTACCGACAGTCATAATTATAGGAACATATTCACGGTGCAATTCAACGGTGCCTACATCAGAAGACGGAATCAAGGGCCTCAGTGTAGTGTGGGGAACCGAGGTATCATCAGCGCTCCCGAGAACATTCTAACAGAGAACGCGCTCCCCCGACTGGAACAAGCACCTCAGCCTTACTGGATAATTCCCTATTGCAGGAACAGCAAGTTCACCGGCCGTCTAGATCTCATCGACTCGGTGAAGAGGCTTGCCCACTCTAATAATCACAACCGGATTGCACTCCACGGATTGGGCGGTTCCGGGTATGCATTGATTAATTTGGGATATGAAAGCTTTACTAACACTGGTCAGAAAAACCCAAATCGCCCTCGAATATGTTTACCAGCGCGGGAGCGAGAGCGATTGTCATGTTTTCTGGGTGCAGGGAAGTGGGACATCAGGATTTAGTGCCGACTTCAGGGCCATTGCGCATTGCGTTCGCATTATTCTGGCCAACGGCGAGACAAACGAAGAGGAATTACTATCTAGTGTAAAGAGGTGGTTTGAGGGCCCAGAAAGTGGCGATTGGATTCTAGTGATTGACGGCGCCGACAACGATGAGGACTTTGTTGGCAATAACAGTGCCATCGCGAAGTTCGTGCCACAAGGCGTTAGAGGTACAATAATATTCACAACAAGATCTCTCCCGGTCGCATCTCGCCAGGAGTGCGAGGTAGTAAATGTTGGGATGATGGAGGAGGAGGAAGCCCAAGTGTTATTTTCGAAACACTTTGGTAGCTGGGGCAGTTTGAGAGATAGGGAACGAGAAGCCATCGAGAACATCCTAGGTTCGGTGGATTACCTGCCGCTGGCTATCGTGGGTTCAGCCGCTTTCATGGTCGAGACAGATACGCCAGCCTCTGACTACTGGAACATTTCCCGGGAGAACGAAAAGCGAATGGATACGCTACTCTCGCAGAGGTTTGTCAATATCCGGCGAGATGCTGATTTGACAAAAAGCATTTTAAACACATACTTCATCATCTTCGACCGAATTGAGGAATATATGCCACCGGCGGGCAATCTCCTGCGGCTAATTGCCTCCCTTGATCGTCAAAATATCCCCGAGCAGCTCCTGCGAGAATCTGGAATTGAAGGGATGGACGATGTGATCGGATTTTGTCGGACAATGATGAAACTGTCGGGATTCTCATTGGTTACAGCTCTCACACGAGATGGCGAGAACTTCTATGAGCTTCCCTACTTAATCCAGCTTTCCGTACAAGCCTATTTATCACGAGAAGAGTTGGCGGAATGGAGCGCTACTGCACTAAAGGTCGTTTCACGGCGGTTTCCTAGATATGAGCACGAGGTGCGGCATATTTGCGAGGCATACCTCCCGCATGCACTCGCCGTAACGAGAGGTAGAACGGATGTTGGTGCTGAAGACCTTTGTTTCCGCATGGGAGAGTACTTTCTGCATTTGGGTTCATACAGCAATGCGGAATCTCAAGTCCGTCGATGCATCAGACTTCGCGAGGAGAATAAAGATCATGCCTGGAATATGGGTCATAGGAGATTTATGCTCCTGGGGAGAGTGAGCGCACACCAAGGAAGGGCAAAGGAGGCAGAGATGATATTTCGGAACGTACTTGAGGATCTTGAGCGAGTGTCGGGTTTAAATAGCCTAGACTACTTGGACTACTTATCCTACCTGGCAAGTGTGATGAGCGATCTCGGAGAGCATAGCGAGTCAGAAACGATGCATCGGCGTGTACTCGAGGGGCGTGAGAATATTCTTGGGCCAGAGCACCTAGATACACTAACTAGTATCAGCAACCTGACCATTGTTCAATACCAAGGAAAGAACAACGAATCTGAGGGGACAATCCGGCATACACCGGAGGAGCGCGAGAAGACTCCTAGGCCAGCCCACCCAGATACCCTCACAGATGTCAACAATCTGGCTATTGTGCCGCGATACAAGGGAAGGTACGGCGAATCAGAGACGATGGATCGGCGTACACTCCAGCTTCCGGACCAAGTTTTCAGACCAGACCACCCAGGCACACTTGTTAGTGTCGACAACCCGACTGTTGTGCGGCGACGCCGAGTAAAGAACGATGAATCAGATACGATGGATCGGCGTGCACACGAGCTGCCTGACCAGGCTCTCGGACCAGACCACCGAGACACTCTAGTTAGTGTTGACAACCCAGCTATAGCATGGCGATCCCAAGTACAGGATGAGGAATCACAGGCGGTGAGGCGGCATGCGCAGGGGGGGCCACAAAAGCCCCAGACCAGGCACTGCTCTATTTTTTCATGCTGCCTGGTCCTTCTTCTTTGGACCTGGGCAGCCCCCGGCGAGGGCGGTGGACTGAGAAAGTGACTCGGGATGTGCCACCGGCAGAAGGATGGACCAGATGGTGCAGGAGTGGGCTAACGGTTTTCAACGCTGTGCGAGGCTCCGGGAATCTACTAGAAACAATAGGTGAATGTGTGGGACTAACAGGGGTGATGAAAGAGAGGCCGTGTCCAACTATTGGGTATTGTTTTCTATGCTCAAGGGATGTTAATTCACGAAGGAAGTGTTGGGCATTTTTCCCTTTTTTCTACATTTCACCTCGTATTGTTTCTTGTCCCTCTTTGTGCCGTATTTTATTATCTCTCGCAGCGAACATTGTCGTCCGCCCTTTTACCCCTCAATATCCTTGAGCCACTTTCTTGTAATTCTTCAAAGTTGCCGGTGTGAAGAGAAAATCTGTGTTATGATACCCGGCAGCCTCCCATGCACTACCTTAGTAGTTATCCTAGCGGGCTCCAATAAATAACCGCCCCTGCATTCCACGAGCTTAAAAGAACATAGTATGACTGTACACCTGCTATACCCCCCCTCCCCTCTTCAGCCAAAGCCCTGGGGCCAGATCCTCCGATTTGACCCGACAGGGTCAGTCGCAATCTGCTCACTTCCGGCCCTTTGGGCTGGCCGACTTCCCCCCTGCAAGCACCGTAGACCACCCCAAGACCGTAACAGATGTCTATTGTCCGGCCATGACCCTAGGCTACCAAGTAAGGTGCGATGGGTCACAGCCAACGTGTTCCCCAACAGTGGGCGGGCACAAGGCGATTCTCGGACCTTATCATGACAGAACCTATTGGCAGTTAGAAACCCGGATGCCCCGTCATGGAGGAAATAACGTTACGTTGAGTCGGTGTCTTATCCCCGGTGGTACGCCATCTGGCATTGAAAAAGCCGCAGACCCAAGCCACCCCACCACCTTCATTTCGCGAAGCCGGCCAGGGCTTGGTTCTAACCCGGGGGCCCCAGGCTCCCCTGGAGCCGACCTGGCAGGACTGCATATACCTCCCGCTTTCGAACGACAGGGGAGGACTTCCATGATTCCGGTATTTTTCAGAATCCTAGTAACCGCGAGATGCTGCTGGGCATGCCCTCGCGATAGTTTGTCTGCTTTTTCGCATAGTCCCCAGGAACGTGCTTTGGTTTCGGACACACCCCGGGAGCGGGGGTTTCTCTTTCCTTTGTTAGCTTTTGCTTGCTAGTGAGGGGGAGACATACCTGGAAGGATAGGACTTGGTTCGTCGTTTTGTTGTTGATATATCCTCCTATCATTACCCTTGGTTAGTTGAGTGGGATAGCGAGCGTATGTGGACTCCCCGCCCCCGAGTTGCTTCTCGCAAAACTCGCGGCGGAAGGCCTGAATGGCCAAGGCAGCCCGCATCTCCTCCAACTCCCGCTTGAGAGCCCAGAACTCCCGTTGGAGTTCCTTGTTGTTGTCCAAGGCATCCCGCATCTCCTCCAACTCCCGCTTCTGAGCCCAGAACTCCCGTTGAAGTTCCTTGTGGGTGTCCAAGGCAGCCCGCATCTCCTGGAACTCCCGCTTTAGAGCCCAGAGCTCCCGTTGGATTTCCTCGTCGGGAGGGGGGCCGCCCGGGCTCTCAGGGCGCATTATCGCCGCCACCCCGAACCCAGCAGCAAGAGTGGCTAGTGCCCCCAGTGCCGAACCTAGGTCCCTTAGGAACCCTGCGGGACAAAGATCCGCCATGTTAGTAAACAGTATTGTCAGGGGCATCCCAATGGGTTGAACGAACCGTAAATGGCTCTTCGAGCCCGACACCATCGAGATGGAGAGTTGGGGGGTAGGCCGTCTTGCGGGGCTCCGGGGGGTTCTGTAGTTGGTGCTCTGGCTGGGGTTGCACGCCATGTGGCATATGTTGTAGTGGGATGTTCATTTTTGTAGGACGGATGGGAAGCGTTGGTGGGCGGGTGTTGGAGAGGAGTTGTGGACGGGAGGTGGGCACGAGAAAGGGGTATTATATGCTCCCATCGGAAGTCTATCAACGCGTCATAGCATGCGTAAGTGAGGATGGAGATAGAGGACTTTAAGTTAGCGGACAGAGCACCAGGTCCAGTGTCCATTAACGGAAGCGAGAGGAGTCTATTTGCGAAACGGTTTTAAGTTACCATGGAGGTCTTCAGCGGCAGTCATAATTATAGGAACATATGCACGGGGCAATTCAATGGCCCTGGGCTACCAAGTAAAGCGCAATGGGTCACAGCCAATGTGTTCCCCCGCAGTGGGTGGGCACAAGGGGATTCTCGGACCCTATCATGACAGAACCTATTAGCAGTCAGAAACCGGGATGCCCCGTCATGGAGGAAATAACGTTACGTTGAGTCGGAGTCTTATCCCCGCCGGTACGCCCTCTAGCATCGAAAAAGCCGCAGACCCAAGCCACCCCACCACCTTCATTTCGCGAAGCCGGTCAGGGCTTGGTTCTAACCCGGGAGTCCCAGGCTCCCCTGGAGCCGACCTGGCAGGACTGCAAAATCCTCCCGCTTTCGAACGACAGGGGAGGACTTCCATGATTCCGGTATTTTTCAGAATCCTAGAAACCGCGAGATGCTGCTGGGTATGCCCTCGCCATAGTTTGTCCGCTTGTTCGCATAGTCCCCAGGAGCGCGCTTTGGTTTCGGAGACACCCTGGCAGCGGGGGTTTCTCTTCCCTTTGTTAGCTTTTGCTTGCTAGTGAGAGGGAGACATACCTGAAAAGATAGGACTTAGTTCGTCGTTTTGCTGTTGATAGCTCCTCCTGTCATTACCCTTGGTTAGTTGAGTGCGATAGCGAGCGTATGTGAACTCCCCGCGCGCGAGTTGTTCGTGTGAGATCTTGGCGTTTCGTTTCGTGGCGTTCGCCGTGAGCTACCGGTTGCGCCATTGGTTGCGCCATCTCGCTGTTCACCCGTTTACGTTTAGTTTCGCAGCGCGTCATTCGTCCGTTCGTTCAGTCGTTCGTTGGTTTCGCTGTTGCCATAGACTACTGGTAACTTTCGCCGATCCGATGTTTAAAACTGAAAATGTACATACGAGTACGAGCTTGGCGACAAAATTCGTTGACCCCCCCCCATTTTACACCAAAAATAGGTGTTTTCGCTTTGCAAAATCACAGCTTTGTCTCTCTGCAAAAAATCAGAAAATTCACTAGTATCCTTAGTGACATCTAGATCTTATTGCCCTTGAGTATCAAGCTGTGTTAATAATTGCTCATGGCACAATTCTCTAAAGCATGAGAGTGGTCCAAAGGTACTTCCAATTTTGTATGAGGTTCCCATACAAAAGGTACATTGCAACCGTGTTCAATCTGGACACTAAGCTCCCAGCCATTATTGTGCAGGGCGAAAATTCTGATAAATTTTTCCCACAAAGCCTAGGTAATATCCTACATTATGGTATTAATTTCATCAGTTCTTTATTGCTTTTGGATGAGCTGTGGTTGCGTGAAATCAGCCACTTTTGGTGTAAAATGGGGGGGGGTCAGCGAATTTTGTCACCAAGATCGTACATTGACACAGATTTACTAGAGCCACCAGCGGATGGGTCAGTAGTTTCTGCACGTATCTTAGGTGCCCACAATAGGTGATACCGGTATGTTATCTTCGCCATGATTTCATATGGGAGCTGGGGTGAAACGACCCAGGGATGCTGATGCCCGTGCAGATCCAGAGAGTAAGCTCACGTACTCGCCTAGATATCTGTGACCGGCCAGGTCACGAGGGCAAAAAGGAAAGGAATGCCTTGCGATTCGGAGCTGTTGGTGTGGAAACTTCGAGGGTTGTTTATACTACCCAAGGTAGAGGAAAACGGCTTGCAAATCATAGAACGCGGTAATTGTTAGCTTGAGAGGACTCTGCCTGCCATAAAATTACAAAGCATGTCGGGTATTTTCAAATTAAGTAGCATCCACACACTTTCATCTCCTTGAACTGGTTGGAAATATTACTTTATTTTCTTCGTGTGTCTATGATTCAGGCATTGTATCAGATTAGCGGATATTTAGAAAAATTTGCTGATGTCGGTTAAATTTGAAGATAGTTGCCGGCATCTTCCGATATCTTGCTACCCATCGACAAAATACATATTAAGCGCACCGCATATGCCAAATCCTACAGGGGCTGTCAGGCATCCACAAAGTTTGCATAGGTCCCGGAAGAGCTGGGGCTACGAAGCCCAACTTAGTCCCACTTTGGCCTGGCCTGGTGGTACTGTGGCGAGCGGTTTTAGCAATAGTGTTTCTGAGCAGTAGTAAGGGCTTTTGAGCGCAAGGAGAAT